TTGTATCTTTATCTTGTGCTGAATTCTGTGTTGTGACCATTCGATGGGGGTCTGTTTCAACAGTGAACATTTAAACATAGAAAAAATGTAAAATATACCAACTAAATCAGCATTTTTCTCTGACTGCAGTTTTCAGTCAGCATGCCTTGCCACCTAACTGTGTAGTTCCCATAGTCATAATCCGGGGTGAGAATTACAACAGAACTTACTGTGCATGCAGCAGTACCGGTGGTAATTAAATTTAAAAAAAAGTTAAATCACTCTTACCGATTGTCTTTGTGAGACATTTCCAGCTGCTCATTCGTCCAAAAGAAAGAAAATGCCCTAAAACCTTTGCACTATGTCAAGGCAATATTTGGAAGAACTTTAATGTTGCTTTGGCAGTTGGGTAATAATTAAATGACTTCGGTGCAATAAACGCTTTTCTAAAAATGCATGTTTTCTGTGACACAGTAGGATGTTTGTAAACCAGACATGTCGGATTTAAGTACTGAAAATGTCAAGACCAATAGCTGTTAAAGTGATTACTACATTAATTTAATGCTTATTATTTTAATAATGGAAGATGTCCTTTTTAAAAATTGAATCAAGAGGTGGGCTTATTAACTGTATGGGGCTTTCTTTTTTTCTTTCTAGAATGTAAACTCCTGTCCGGTGGATAGAATCCTCTTTAACTACATTAGCGTTCGGGCACATTTTGGTGGTAAAATCCTAAAAAAGGTAAGCTTTTTACTGTAGCAAACAAGAAGGCCAGTTGCCACAAAATAGCTATTGAAAGGTTCACACTTCTAGCACGTTTATCTGATATTTGGTACCTGGGTGAACTATTTCTTTCCTATTTTGAGATTGCCTGTTAAGGAACTATTTCTTCCTCGTTAACCATACGTCCTGCAGTACTGTGTGTGGACTAAAGTGTGGCATCATTTTGTATGGCAAAAAGGGTGGTTTTCGTAAACCTGTCCGCATGGGGAAAATGCCCCGCATGCTGGAGTGCTGTTAGAATATGAATAGGAAGAATCTAGGTTACGTGTGATCTCTTCCTTATGTCTTGCTACCAGCCACACTGTGTAGCAGTCGGGTTTGTAAGGGGAGACGCAAGACGATAGTAGAGCTCTTAAAGGTGCAGGTTGAGTGTGTGGTAGTCTTCCACAAAAGAATATTGAAGAGCAATCATTGCTCTTTATTAATAGCAGAAACATGTTGGTTTTCGGGGGACATTTAGAACTTTGCTCTGTTTTCATAAACTGATGTTTTACTGGAACAGGCTGCCCAGGGAGGTTGTGGAGTCTCCTTCTCTGGAGATATTCAAGACCTGCCTGGACAAGGTCCTGTGCAGCCTGCTGTAGGTGACCCTGCTTTGGCAGGGGGCTTGGACTAGATGACCCACAGAGGCCCTTTCCAACCCTTAACGTTCTGTGATTCTGTGATTTTAACAGACGTGCGAATTAACATTTAAATAATATGTTTAGAGCGAGAGAAGCTAAGCTTGCTGTCTTCTTTTGTCTTGTTTTTGGGGCGTTTTTGTTTGCTTGACTACTTTTGATCTTCCTCGGGGAACTTTGGTTTTGCCTGTTCTGAAAATGCATTTTTCCAGAGTTGTTGATGTCTGACAGTACACAGTCTCAGTAGATGTTCTCAAGCATTTGATCATGTCCTAGATGTGTTGAATGAACTAAATGAAGGTTCTGGTGTGTACCAGCTATTTCGATTTACTAACTTTTGCTGCAGGTACTGTTAATGTGACACTGAATTTTAAGAAGTGCGACATTCTGCGTAAAATGTGAATCCCTCTTGTGTTTAGATTCCTGTTGACAACCCGATAACTCGGGGTAATGATGGAGAGGATGATCCAACCTTCTGTGAGGTGTGTGGCAGAAGTGACCGCGAGGATCGCCTGCTGCTCTGTGACGGCTGTGATGCAGGGTAAGAAGGGTTGAAATGAATGTAGCACCTGCATGATTGCGGATAGCGCTGCAGGGCTGGCCAGTGTTTGGTCCACAGGCACTGACTGGTCTGTAGGATGCCCCTTGTTGCTCTCTGCAGGCTTGTCATCTGGCAAGACTTGTATCCATGTGCTTGCAGTGTAGATGTCCCCATGACTGATGGATCCTGTTCTGGTCATGTAGCAGCATATGTGTGGAGGGTGCTGTACACATTGTTGCTGCAGACCTCCGAAACAGGTGACCATACCTTCAAGTGACGAAGATGTTTGTGCTCATCCATGCAATAGCTGGGTGCATGGAGGGTAAAAAAACATATATCCTTTATGTCTTCTTAAGAGGGTGCATGACTTGTCCCAACTGACTGGGTGTTAGTGCTGCGTAGGAGAAGTGCTTAAGATTCATGGTTCCGTGCAATTTTGAGGTTTTTTCTTTATAGCCACAGCTATTAAATTATTCCCTTACTCGTGCTTACTTCTGTCGCTGCCTAACAATTTTTTGCCCTCCTTGATTAATAAAATAACTGTTTCAGTAGAGGCGTCAAGATACTTGAACACAATTTTGGACCTACAGTCTTCTGCTAGAATTGAAAGCATTTATACTGTTTAATCTCTCTCGCAGCATTGTCATTTTGATGATGTCAAAAGTTACCCATGGAACAAAGAAAGATAATTGCTTGCAATGAATATGTAAAATAGTCTCTCAAAAATGGCTTCTAGCAAGCTGACTAGACATCTGCTATGTCTGGTTTTGTCTTAGTGTTCTGTAGTGTCCATATACACCGATTCACCTTCTGGAGAACAGACAAAATCAGGAATGTTAAAGACTGTTAAGCATGTCATCAGAACACCGAGTTTGAAATACTTAACCAAAACCAGTGTTTCATAGGTATTATGTGAAGTCATGTCTTTCAGTTCTTTGTGAACTTTCATAAGCCGTAACTGAACTGAGGGTTTTGCTTCAGAGTTTCCTTTGTGGTGTCTCAATCGTTTCTCTGATTCCTCCCTCCACACCCTCCCAAGTTTGATACAGTTCTGTGGGTTTTTTTTAATCTTGTTTTCCTAAAACAAGTTCTTTATAAATGCTTGACTTCTAGAGTAAGCACTTCCTGAAGAAAGAACTTGCATGGAGAGCTAGCTCTCCATGGCTGAGATTAACTCTAGAAAGATGTAGAATAGCTTGCTTCAAATCCTAGTTTTATTCTTCTACACTCTCTCTCTGACCTGACACTGGAGTGAAAATTTCATCAGTTATTTTTGCCAACAATTCTAAAGCCAATGTCATCCTGTCTTTCCATTGCTTTTAGCTAGATGTGGCTTTCCACAGCATTTAAACTGTGTGGTGTAATGCTGTTATCGTATGCATGAAAGTTATGGTTTAAGTAATCAAATCTTTTTCCATTGAAACTGTTTTCAGGTAAGACTTGTGGTGGCAGCCTGTCTTTCTGAACTTGTAACAATAGCGTTAGGATTGGTATGAATACAAAAGTGCATGTGTCTAGACACTTGAACAAACAGTAGGAAAGGGGTTCATTGTGTTAATGGTGTGACACATTAATGTGTGACTTCACTCAGATCACCAAGTAGCAAGAAGAAAGTAGCGCTGATAGAGAGATAGGTGTCAAGAAGAACAGGGCTACCTCCGTGACCAAAATTCCTGAATTCCATAGATTTAATTTTTCTTATTGTTCGTGAGGACTGAGACTAAGTAATGAGGCAGAAGGTCTCCCAAAGCATCCCTTTATTCCTTGAAGATACAAGAAAGAAGTCTGTAATCAGTTCTTCGCTGCCGGTCACAGAGCCCAAGAGATGTGTTGAGGACTTGATGGCCAGTGTCTCTTGCCGTCTGCGTTACACACAAATAATCCTGCCCAGGCCACTTGGGCACACTGAGTCTTTGTGCTTGTGAGTGGGTGGGTACAAGAGTGCAAGTAAATGAACCTGAGAGAATGAGTGTGAGTAAAATCAATTTACTTTGAGTTCTTTGTAAAACGAGTATCACCTTATCCTTCTATAAGATCTGGCATTGGGCTTTGTTATGATGATTTTCTGTGAGGTGAGGTTCTTTTCCCTGTCCTGGTGACTCTAGATAGGTGTTGTAATAGATTCTCCAGCGTCCAAGGCTTTAGGGCTGAAAGTCTTTGCTTGTCAAGTAGGTCATAACTTGACTTCAGAACTCCCAGAGATAATTTGAAGAGTATGTAATGAAGTTCTTGCTACAGGTACTTGTGTTATGACTTTGGCCTGAACCTGACAATACTACTTGTCAGAGTACTACTTTGGGGAAATGATCTCGTTCTTGGTAGCTGGCAGTTAGAGAATGAACTCTCCTTTCCCAGAGAAGGAAAATACTTTGCTGCTCTAATTTTAATGTAATGATTTATTGCAAACATATTTTTTCAACTTCGTCTCCATAAGTGTCTAAAATCTCATGTGCTGAGGTATACTCTTTCATGCAAGAAAGACATGATACTCCATTTCGTATTGACAATTAATGAATTTTAGTATAAACATAATATTGATGGTTTTGACAGTTTAGCTGCAAATTGAGTTTATCACAACGTAATTGGGAACAGGTTTGAAAGACACAGTCTGAAGCTGGGGTAACGGGTGAAAGGTAGGTTACCGGCTGTAGTCTGTCTCTGGTTTTTGTGTATTGCTATAAAATGGGATTAGAGCATCAGATGGATGTTCCTTCCCTTTTCATTACTCTGTGGCCAGGCACAAAGAGAAGTGAATCAGGCAGTGAATTTTGGCATGGGAGGGTGAAACAGAGCTTCACTCTTTTTCCTTTACTTATTTCAGAGTTAAACATGGTTCTACATCAGAAATAACAGTAGGGTTTCCCTTTTTAGAAAAAGAACAAAGTTGGCCATAGAAATGTTGCTGATTTGAAGCTGAAACTCTGACTTTAAGGCTGTGTTCCTTGCCTAGGGAACTTGGTCTAAGCACTAGGTTTTCATGGGAGGCATCTCATTTACTTGGGAAATCTGTTTTTATTCTTCTTAGCAGTGTAACTTGAACATGAGTTGCTTCAAAAATTCTGTGCTACTAAGGCATGTTGTTTTGGCTGGGTTTTAATTGCTGAAAATGGAATTGAACAAGTTACAGAACACAGGTTGGGTGATGTTGAAAGGCTTTCCTGTGTAGCTTTTCTGTAAGTGGTTGGTGAGAGTGTTCTGTCTTGCTGCTGAGCCTGTTGACTAGAGAGCATTTCAACAGGCCTATCAAAGCTAGCATTACGCTCTCTTCTTTCCCTTTGAGATTTGATAAGGATGAGCATGGTTCTCGGTCAGATGGTGTTTGGAAGTCAGTGTGGCTAGTCTCCAGTCCTGCAAGCAACTGTATAAAGCCAGTTACTGGCCAACGCTCTGCAGCCTAGCTTGTGCAGCTATGCAGAAATCCTTATCACTGGTTGTCTTTAATCATGCCAGGTGCACATGGGATGCAGTGCGTTTGTTCAGTGTAACAAGGCATTGCAGCTTATCTGTGTCTAGTCATGTAGCATAAATAACACTTTGTTGGGTTGCAGGAAACTGATGTTGTTTCTTGATTGCCTGTCTCACCAGTACTTCTCCTTTCTCTTAGCCACCATCGGTTTTGGCTCTGCACGTTTCTTGGAGCTTGGGTTCCACTGGCAAGCAATATACCACACAGCGAGGGGGGAAAAACACTGTCATTTCTGAGATTTTTTTTTTTTTTTTGAGCCTAAAGTGATCAAAAGACCCTTATATAACTGTCAGGTAGTATCATTTCTCTGGAGATTGGTAGAAAGAAGCATATGCGTAGACTGTAGTTCAAGCTTAAGAAAACGTGTCCGCCTTATGTAGCATGTGGACAGAGGTAAAAGGCTCTTTTCCCTTGGTAAGGTGTGCATTGTTGGATGTCTGTTTTACTTTTTCTTTTCTTTTCGCAAGGTACCATATGGAATGCCTTAATCCACCTCTGAGTGAAGTCCCTGTAGAGGAATGGTTCTGTCCAGCCTGTGCCCCCGTGGGCATGGGTGCTGCTGCAGGTGAGGGTTTTGTGGTACCCAGTCAAAGTAAATATTTTTCTCTGACTTAGGTGATGTGAAGCATGTGCTCTTTTGAAGAGATGTTTAACCCCTGGTTTTATCTGTTATAAATAATTGTTTTGATAGGCATTCTCTCTTGAACCTAAAGAGTTGACTTGAACTCCTGACTGATGAGAGGATCTTGTTTGTTAAGATTTTCATCTGCAGTTACAACCGATGGAGCTGCTTCTTACAGGCATTCTTTAACCTTCCTGAGGCAAGCCCAGCACTTCAGTGCAACTGCATTATGTTACATTGGAAAGAATTTATTAGTATCCTGATCTCAGATTGCCAGGGTAACAGCAATTTCTGTTACCTAGAAAATCGTCTTTCTGCCTGACAGCCTGAAGTGGTGGTGTCTGTGCTCATTTCCTTTTGAGTAGATAACGTCCGCCTCTGGAGGTGATTGGTTTAAAAAAGGGAATACTGATATCTATATATTTTTTTTTTTTAGTCCAAACTTCTTGAAATGCTTTCACCTGTAGAAAGACAAGTGACCTGGGCATCTTTCCTTTCAAGATACAGATCATGTCAGTGAAGAAGAGGATGCTGCCCTCGTGGCTGATGTTATTGCTACCACCAGTGGGCTACGCCCTCATGTCCGAACCCGAGCTATAGCCAGAACTCGACAGAGTGAACGAGTTAGAGCAACAGTGAACAGAAACCGGATAACAACAGCGCAACAAATTCAGGTATTTAGGAGTGTTTGCTAATGAGCTTCTGGAAGAACCTTGTGGAATAGTTGCAAGAAGTCCCCTCTTAAGTAGCTTAGCTGTCTGTGTTGACTGTCCATAGCACAATGATTAGTATTTGTGGAATTCTTTTAAACCGAGATGTAGAACGTGCAAATTGAGTGCAGCATACGACCAAGACACTCTGTTTTGAAATCTGTGGTAGCTTGCTCTCTTCATCTACATTTTTATCACCTCAGCTGTGAGCAAAATTGTATCTTTGTTCTCAATGGCTGTTAAGGCACAGTTTGTGCACCACTTCTGTTTTTTTAGCATGCTTTTTTCGCGGAGGCATGTTTATTTGACATCTGTTTATTTGCTTGTTGGTCCTCCTACCCCCTTTCCCATAGTACTGGAATCTGTTGGGCACGTGCAGCCAAATTGGAGAGAAAAAATTAGTATTTTTAAGGTTTCTACATTTGTGAAAATCAGCCTGTTATTGATGAGAAAAAAACCAGATGCTAGTGTTCTCAGTGACGTGGCAGTGTGAGTTCAGTTGCATTAACAGGTACCAGAGAATCTAAGCCTGAAAGTATCCCAAATACCGAAGGTCCCTCAAATCCTTTACTGTTTATTGGCTGGCTGTGGATTTTGGGTTAGGTCTGCTAGAAGGGCTGTCCTTGGAGTGTGAAGTGCAGACTGGGAAAAGACTGAGTTGGAGGTAGGAGATCTGGCAGATTAAGCTTTCACTTGTAATCCAGTTGTAAAGGTTGGGTGAGAAAGAAAAAGGAAATGCACTTGAGATTGTGAAGGGCCTCAAGATCATGAGCTACACTTCTATATTCTGTAACTACAGGCAGAAAAAATAAAAGACAGGCTTAAGTGAATCAAAACAAAATGCCAAAATCTGGGGGAGAAAAGTGGAGTTTTTCCGTTATCTTACCTACCTGCCAGTGTGTCAGAACAGTCTACTGTTAATTGGCTCCCGAGCGTTTACCTGTTAAATTTCTCATCAAAATCATTGCAAGTAGGAGGAGAGGAATGTGTAGCAAATCCCGAATGATCTGAATTACAGCAGTAAGTACATTTTGAAGTAGGGGTCGTGAATGAAGATCTAGCTCACCTCAAGTTTTATAATGGGTTTTTTTTTTTTCCCCCCTTGAATTAAGGACTTCCCGGAGTGCTTTAGCAGTCCTTAAATTCATTTTGCCCTCCATGGTGGAGGCAATTTTACTGGGCTGCCAACCCCCCTGTCTCCAAACCCAGGCCTTTTAATTTCAACTTTAGACGAATTAGCAAAATAGAAAAACTTCATGCATGATTTGATGCATTGTTGTTAAGCAATTACATCGGAGTTGTCAGGGCTATATGTTGAAAAAAGTAGGTTTCAAAGAGTGTGGTTTGAGATGAAATGCTGTGCAGGGTAACTGCTAGTGCTTTTCTTTCTTTCCTTACCTGTTGCTTTAGAAATAGCGTGTAGCTGTCTCCTGTAGTTGAGAGAGGTGGTACCTGGGGACTTTACCGTTGCATAGTAAAGTAAGCCTGGAAGCCCGATACTTGCCATATGAGAAGCCATTCCCAGCTCCACTTCTCAGTCTGCAGAGATTATTATGAACGGTACCTAGAAAGGCACCATTACTTATTCCCTTTATCCCTGAATAAAAGTGCATCTTTTTCTAGCTCGTACCTTGAGTTGCTTGAGTTGCTGATTTCAGATCCTTGTAAAGCTTTAGTATTTGGGGAGGCAGTTTGTTTTGTAATTCATCTGTTGTTCTGTAGGTGCCTAAACTGGTGGTGTTTACCTAGATGTACTATTTTATGTCCTTCTAGAAAAAGAAATGTGTTTAGGCTGAAGTTCAGGGCTTTCCTTACTCAGTCCTGTTCTCCTCCAAATCAGAGAACCTTATTTAGAATTTTTTGGCACTGACGATACTTAATGTTCTAATAAAAATAGCTCAGTAAAATAGTTTTGAATATGCATTAGTGGCACCAACAGAGAACCTTCGTGAAATTACTTCCATAGTAAGATGAATTGAAGCATACGTTTCTGTTGGCATATTCTATTTTCAAACATTTTGCAGTTTGAAGCTTCTTTGCCGCTGCATGGTACTCTAAAGCCATTTCCTCAATGAAAATCTAAGGGATTGTTCTCATTTAAAGAGTCAGAGTTAGGCTAGCTGTGACTTGTAATACTGAGAGAGGCTGAAGAGCATGGTCGTATTCTCCGTGATATGACAGTCAATAGGTGAGAAAGGTGACTTAATTGCTTAACTGCCAGCTTGGTGACACGTGTGCTTCTCATTCAAATCTCAAATCCATTTTTCATCAAATGCTTTATAAGTAACTTGTTGCTGACCTTTAGATGCCTATATCATGTAACTTCTAATCCCCCATGCAGCACGTGCCAAGGTACCTCACGTCCTCTCTTGTGGATGAAACAATTGAGGCAGTTGTCGCAGGCCTAAACACAGCCATCTACCAGCGTCCTCTTACACCATGGGCTCCTACTAGACAGAAAAGAAAAAGAGGTAAGGGCATCAGACACCTCCTGTGGTTCCCATCTTCAAGAATAAAAGCTTGGGAAGATAGCCCGAATCATACCAGATACTCTAGATCAGCTGTATGCTGCCACACGTGTGCAGCTACAGAAGCATACCACATGTATCATCTTCTTTCCACATAACGCCTCTGCCCAGAAGTGTCTTGAAGGTTGCTTTTAAATAAATCCTGATGATTTAATTTTTTCTGCTCTGCTGTTTTATACTGTTACAGCACACTGTAAGTCTCTTTAAGCTACTTTATGTGCCATGAGGGAATGAAAGGGGAGTACAAGGTAAAATGCACTGTCAGCACTTAGCCAAATACTTGGTTGTATTTTGTCCCATCAGGTAGGAGGAAGAAAGTAGGAGGCAAAAAAAGAACTCAGACAAAATCTTCTGCTGCAAAGAAGAGTTCAGGGATACAGCTGAAGAGACGCAAGCGTCTGATAAAGAAGAGAAGGGGAAAAAAGCAGAGAGTAAGATCACATATGAGTTTCTGCTGGTGTCAAGATCCACTATTTTTTTAGCTATGGGATTCAATGGAAAAAATACTGTCTTAAAATGATAGCAGGTAACTTTTTTTCTAGTGGGAATATGTGTAGGATGTGTCCAGTGTACTCCAGAAAGATGCTGTACATGGAAATGAATTGCAACTTTCAGGCAGGCCAGCTGGGTTTGCTGACAAATCCTGTTACCTGACCTGCAGGGATCACACTGTAAAGCCATGTCCTGCAGGCTTTGTGTGACGCCTTGCCATTCAGCTCTAGCGTTTACTTGGTACTGATGCAAGCTCAGTTAAAACTGCCACAACCTATTCTTTGTAATAGGCTATGGATGTTTGTGTCTGTGTTGTTGCAAACCCAGTTAATCGGCCATAAGGACTCTCAAAATCCTGTTCAAGTTGTGGATAGTGTTCTCACATGAATTGTACTGAATACTCTGCACCAGCCTGACTTTTGTACTCAGCTACCTTAACTAGAGTTTACATCATACAGCCAGAACTGTCCCTCCAGCCTTTAATAACGAACTGACAATTTTGAATGACATTATTAAAGATTTTTGGAAACTCGGCTTACCTGGTTGCTTAAATCTGATATGCGCAGTCTCTGTATGAAGTGACATGTAGGGCATAGTTAGAAGTTTAGTAAATGCTTTAAAACAAATGTAGATGATAAATGCATACCACTTCTGCTACCAGCGGTAGTAACCTGTTGATTGTACTTAGCCTAAGTGAAGAATTTGGGGCTTTAAACCCAGGGTATGTACCTGCCCTAACATACAAATAACCAAATCTCTTTATCTGTGCAGATGAAAAATGAGGTTACTACTCGCTCCCGTATTGCAAGAACTCTTGGTCTTAGTAAACCTGTGCGTGGGGCCTCGATTCCTTCCATGTACAAACCAACGGAGCCCTCGCTTGGTGTGATGAGAGCAGATATCGGTGCAGCCTCTCTGTCTGTGTTTGGAGATCCATATGAGTTGGATCCTTATGAAAGGTGAGGTATCTCTGGATTATGATCAGGGACCGATAATTTTGGAAGTGTTGGTTTGTTTGTACACGTGACTTTTTGCAGAGTGTAGATCTTGCATCAGCTTTGGATACACAGCTTATAACAATACATTGGCCTGTTCTTTTGTTCCTTCTTGGCCGAGTTGCTGAGCTCTTAAATCATCCATCTTTAAAGAGGTTTCCTGGAAATAATAAGCCTTGTAAAAACCTTTAGTAGGATATATGGGGTTATTCAAAGGCTAGAATCTGAAGAAGTTGTATCCTAATCAATCAATTTCTATTTGTTGATTTTAAGTGAAAATAGCTAGCATATTTGGTATACAATAAACAGTGACTTCCTGTAGAATTGAATGGAACTGTGGAATCTTCTGTGTTTCTCCTTTTCCCATCTTTGCTTTTCCAGACAATTTAAATTCAGGAGGAATCTTACTATGCCATAGTTTGTGTCACTCTTAAGCTTTGGATTTTGGGGAGAGGACATCTGAAATCTTTGCTGGTGAAATTTAATTTTCCACTGAATAAGTCATTTTGGTCCTTTCATAAACACAAACTACCCGTTTAATATTTAAAAAATAAAAATCTACATTTACGTATCTGCTGGCTGGGTTACGCTGTTCTGTTTATGTAGTCACAGAAAATAAGTGTATTGCACAGATACTTTTTTAATGTGTCATAATAAAACAAACGATGCTCTCTAACCGTATCTGTCCTAGTAGTATTATCTACTTCATCTATTTGACGTGAAAGACATTCAGACAATTTCAGGGTTCGTGTGTGTGTGTTTTACCCACAGTAACGAAGAGGTTCCAGCAAATCCAGATTCACCAGTGAGTGCCAAAAGGAGAGTTCTCTCCCAGTCAGCACTGAGGTCTCACCGTCCTGTGGCTAGACCTATTTCTGTGGGACTTTCCAGGTAAAAATCCATCAAGTTATTTATTTTATTTTTCTTAATTGTCTAATGATTCTAACAAAAGAGCAAACTGGGTGATCATCCTGGTTTAACTCTTTTCTTACCCTGGGTATTCTGAAAGAGAGTGTGTCTGTGCGTGTGCTTGCACGTGTGTAGATAAATAACCACAGCAGTTTATGCAAGAATTCTTTTTTTATGTTGAAGGACACACACTTATTCTTTCATAATGGCTCTGACTGTTGCACTGAAACTTCAGATTGGTATTTCCACCCTGATCTGGCTCCTCTTGCTGTTTTGGAATTGTTTAGCAACCCAGTTTCATTAACCTTTAAAAAAAACTATTTGCTTATTTGAGATGGCTGGAGAATCTAATTTTAGATCTAGAGGAGGAGATAAGGGATGTACCCACCTCACCCAGTTCCTCTGCTGTTTGTTGGTGCTCAGAAAATAGAGATAAAACTCTTTGTTTAATCCTGCAATTTAAGTTGCTTTGCTGTCTGACAGATATCTCTGTGTGTGCAAATTGTGTGCCCCTGTGCCCACCAGAACCAGGGAGCCTTGCTGGGTGCCCCTCTCAGCAGCCACAGTGGGTTTTCAGGACTGGGCTGTAGGACACAGTGCAGAGGGGTAGGACACAGGGATCCAGGAGCATGACAAGTAGAGAGGGGATGGGGAAAATGACTGAGGCAGGTACCAATCGAGTCACAGAAAACTGCAAGACTGAGGGAGATGAAGACTAGGAGAAATGGAGGAGCTCAGCTTAAATGATTAAAGGTGTGAGATGTTTTCATGGCTGTCCTATAATACGTCTGACTTGTGGCAAAGGTTGGTTTCTCAGGATTGCGATAGTGTATTTCAATGATAACTTGGAGTATTTCTATACCTTTCCCATCTCAATCCTGAAGGAAGCCTTTCAGGAAGCTTTCCATGTCCTCATAGTTACTTGAGTAGCACGTTGTTTAGAAGGTAGAACTGTTTAGCTGAAATTCGGCTTTTCTAAAGGCTTGATTTGCCGGCACTACAGTGAGTTTGCTGGTCTGGCCTAGGCAGCCAATTCTTTTAGCATCCTCATTTTGTCTTTCTGTTGTATGTTATTACAGGTTTTTGTTGTATGTTATGTTTAGAAAGCTTGTTTTGTTACACAGAAATTAAATATAGCTCCCTCAAAGAGATGGGTCTGTTGGTCTATTTCAAAGTTTTGTTTTGGTGGTTGTTTTTTTTTGAACAAACCCCAAATCCCACCAACACAAAAGCAAAGAAAGAAAAAGAAAAAAGCCACACGCCAACACCAAAAATACTCAAACCTTTTCAGTCCATCTTTCAAGAACAGAGAACTTTTATAGTTAAACCATTTTCATAAGATTAAGTAACATGTGAAGGGGAGTGTTTGTATTGTCCCGCGTGTGGGAGCATTGCTGTTTTTCTTTGTGATTCCTCTTATGCCATGCTCTTAGCTACCCTACCAGTAGGCATCTGTGTGTATTCTCACTGGTGCTAAATACCAGTTCAAGCTGCATCAATTGTTTTAGATAGTGATGTAGGCCTGAGGAATACATTTGTGATCGTGATTTGGTGAGAGAGAGAGAGGCAGCTGGGATGGAAATATCTCTGAAGTACTGAACAATAGTTTACTCTTCAAAAATGCATTTTAAATGCACTGGAAGGTTAATCTTGATACACAACACGGTGAGCATCACTCTTAAATAAGATTAAAAGCATTTGCTTACCAAAGGTCTGTGATATGACTACATGCTTTCCTGTCCTGTGGTATTCCTGTGGGAAGTCAGTAAAAGCTTCACTTCCGTTTGTCAGAGGGAGATAGGGGCTGAATGGCTCTAGTGAAGCCAAAACTACAAATGAACTTCTGTGGCTGACCCCTGTTTATGCCCTTGATTTCAGTTTCTTTTTAATGTAACGTGTGTGTATAGAACAAGTGCTGTAAGAGTAAAGGAAATATAACCCCTCTGAAACACGTAGAAGCAGTGTACCTGCCTTGAGTCCTGATCAAGAAGCAGAAGCTGCCCCTGTGCCTGATCTGTTGGGAAGTATCCTGTCTGGACAGAGCTTTCTCATGATGAGTAGTTCAGATGTGGTCATCAACAGAGATGGTTCACTGACGGCGAAGAACATAGGTAAGGATTTGGCACTTCAGAGTGCAATTAACCTCTTTGTTTCATCCACATCTGCCCTGGTCCTGCAGGCTACATAGCTTCAAACACAGGGATACCGTTACTCAGCATTTGAATATGTAGGATAGATTCAGTAGATGCCAGCAGTAATCCATCTAAAAGATTCTTACATATGCTCTGAAATAGTGTTACTTGTCTCTGTTTTAATTGCAGAGCTGAGATGTTGCTGGAGGATTTTGGTTTTAATAGATAGTTTTCTTCTTTTAGAAGTACTGCACTGTAGTTTCATGCTCTGTTATAAAAGATGGAGGACTAGATGGAGCAGAAATCTTAGTACCCAGTTCCTCTGGCGCTTGTCATGCATTGCTGCCATGCCTGTGAACTGTACTTTGGTTTGAAGAGCAATGAGGAGGACCTTGGAAAGAAGTTTCTTTGCAAAAGTAGAGCTCTAGAATACATGCTAGCATCTTCAGCTATGTCTTCCCTTGGCGTAGTATTATTTGGAAGGAATGTACTCAAAGTGAAACTCAGAGCTTTATTCTTAAAATAAGTACCTATAACATCCTTTGTTATAGTAATTTTTGTCCATCAGTGATGACGGGATAATAAACACGAATCTGGTGATAATCTGCAGAATGGAATAATTTATTTCCTAAGCATTAGTGTTTACCTCAAAGATGCAGTTGTCTGGCATGTTAAACCTTGAGCATCTGATCAAGAGAACTATTGGACTGCCTTATTACTGTGTGGTATGTCTGCACACCAAAGTGGAGCTTAAAATAATCAGCTCAGTACTTGTAGTGTTGGGGGGGAAATGTCCAAATACGTACTGAAAAGCTTAATTGTTTGTTGTATGCCGTAGCTCCACTTCACAGAAAATCAGCAAATGACTCAAGAGTGGATGATGGTTCAGGACACAACACCCAACCGAGTACAGTGCACTCAGGGATCACAGCAAGCAGCTCCGTTGCTGGACCTTCAGTTTCCTCGGGGCTCAGTACTCACACCAGACCCTCCTCCTCAAGCTTGTTTTCATCGCCTTCACTGAGCAGGATTGAGCCTGCAGCAAACCCTGCACAGACTACATCAGAAAAGGCAACTGTAAAATCAGAATATTCAATGACACCCAGGTCCGTTCAGACTCAGAATATAGCTACCCTGAGCAGGCATGGCTCCAAGTCAGATGAAATGCCCAGATTTAATGGAAACTCTAAAAACTGTGCACCCACTGACTCGTCTTCAAAGCCCCTGAGCTGTAATTTGAATTATGGCTCAAAAGCTGTAACTGTGAGGCAGCCATTAAAACCACTTCCCAAGAGAATTGATATCTTTGAGCTTCCCAGGATACCAAAGATTAAAAAGGAAATGAGCAGCAATCAGGTGGAGCCAGAACCTGCAGGAAGCCAAAGCTATGACATCCCCAGCTCCTGTATAACGCAGCTGACTGGCAAAGAGAGCACTAATCAGCCGGGAAAGGGTAGCAAGATGGAAAGTCAGAAGTCAAATGCCAAAGAATCTCAGCAACAAACACGTACAAGTGGAGTGTCTTTTTCTACCAGTACAGGCATGTATAGCAGTTCATCGCTAATGGACACTTCAAGGAGCAAAGGCCCAAGCTCTTTCGAGAGTTTTAAAATCAATATTCCTGGAAACGCAGGACATCCCAGCAGACTGCCTAACCCAGGATTCTGTAACACCTTCCGACCTGTGGATGAGAAAGTGGAACAGAAAGAGAGTCCTTCACCTCTTTTCTCAGTTAAGAAAAAGCAGGTCAAAAGTGAAATATATGATCCCTTTGAGCCAACAGGATCGGACTCGAGTTCAGCAAGCAGCAGTCCTGAAAGGCTTGGCTCAGGGATCCCGCTAACTAATATTACCAGGACTATTTCCATTGAAAATCCGAAAGTTCAAACATTTCAAACTGTCCGTCGTTTCACCCCTTACAGGGCAGATAATATATTTGGATCTGGGGCTGACTCTGACGTACCATCTAGTAACACCGAGTCTCACGATGATGTGGCAGTAGAAAGCAGGATTGTAGAACAGATCTCTGATACAGAGGAACGAGACAATATGGATGAGGAAGACTTTCTAAGCAGTCCTTGCACTTCATCTGCCGCTAAGCAAATTTCTAATGCGGAGTGTTTAAAGGAGGAAAGCAGAGGCGGCCCTAATGTGTTCTTTAATGCTGAAGAATTGATTAGACCTAAAATTAATGTGAAACTAGAACCAGATAGTCCCTCAAAGAATGATGGGCAGCAGAAAGTCCAAAAGGTAGAACAAACAAAGAGGCGATCGCGTTCCAGATCCTGTTCAAACTCTAGCTCCCGAAGCAAGAAGATCAAAAGGAAAATGGCAGTTGTCAAAGGGCATAAGAGATCCTGGTCAGGGTCTAGGGATAGAGCACACTCAAGGGACCGAAGCTCCAGATCTACCTCCTGGTCATGTGGAGAAGAGCGTAGCAAAACGCACACATTAAAATCCAAGAGCAGGAGGTCTTCTACTGACCGTTCTAGCAGTCATGAACGACCTAAAAAAAAGAAAAGGAAGGAGAAAACCAAGGATAAAAAGGGAAAAACTTCTTGGTCAAGGGAGAAAAGGAAATCTAGGTCCCGTTCAGGTAGTCTTGGAAGTACTTCTGAGTTTTATGAAAACAGGAAGAAAAGAAGACGGTCTCAATCAAGATCAAGATGGAGGGAACGTTCCCGATCAAATAGCATTGAGAGGACTAAAAGGCGGAAACACAGGAGAGACAAAAGCTGTGAGAGGTATGATAAAGATAGTAGCTTGAGGTCAAGGGGCAGAAAGAGATCGAGATCCAGGTCTCAGGAGAGGAGAAAGTGGAGGTCTCGGTCTCGGTCTGCATCTCGATCTCGGGAGCACAAAAGCAGCAAACCAAAGGAAAAAAGACCACGATTGAGATCACGTTCCAAAGAAAGAAAACGCAGATCAAAAGAGACCTCGCTTCCTCCTCCACCAGAAAAGGATCAAAAGCCTTCAGTTGAGAATGTGTCCAGGTGTCCGGAGCAGCCCCATTCCTTCAGACAAGAGCCAAAGGAGGAGCTAGTGTTGGAAGAGCTTTCCATAACCATCCAACCAAATGTGAAACTCGAGGAAATGCAGTCCGAGAGTCTGGTTCAACTGAGAGAGGCCCAAGAAACTACAAACGTAGAGCCCATCTGTCAGGAAGTGACCAGTGAAGCTACATTCCCTGTGCCAGAGGTCACAAACATTTGTGTTCCAGTTGGCAATGTGGATTCTTTTGCTGAAACAGAATTAAAGAGTAGTAGTGATCCAGCAGTGCTTGGTAGCTGTAGCAATACAAACCTTGAGATTACAGTTAAAATAGAAGACACTGCATTATGTCCATCTCTGATGGAACCACCCCCAAAGAAGGAAGTTATCATGCACACTCCAGCTGAGGCTGCACCAATTCAAAGCTCGTCCAAAAGCAAAATAACAGATTGTGTGAAGGAGGTTAAAGACGAGTGCCTTGTGTCAAATGAGAAAACCAGTGATTTCAGTAAGCCTGAACTGGAGGTGGTACCTCAGGGTCCTGCATTAAAATCAAAAGCACCAGTGAAAAGAGTTACCTGGAATCTTCAAGAGGAAGAAAGCAGCACATTGTCTGCCGAAAAAGCTCCAAGTAAGTTCTCTTTTGGAAAACAAACAGCAGTTGAAGCAGGCTGCAGTGCCTGGCTAAACCTGGTTGTAGTGTAACAGCTCTGTCATTGGAGCTCGGCTGATCCTGTGATTTCCAATCCTGAGAGCTGGCATTTTGCACTTGTTGAAATCGTGAGTTGAGTTGTGTTAATGAATCGGAGAGAACATGCTGTCAGCACAGCTCAGCCAGCCAGCGGCAGCTTGTTTGGCCGTGAAGCGCGCATTGCAACCTGATCGCTGAATGGGCAGCCCGCGTTCCACCCTTTCTGCAGTTAAGTAGAATGGTTGTTTTGCCTCCAGAATTTGTAAATATTTCTCGGAACTGAGGAGCGTGACAAATCTCTGTAGCTTGCTCCTGTGAGCTCTGCTAAGCCAAAGCTGCTACAAACAGTTTGGCCTGGGACCATGGGCTATGTGTGTTGGCAGAGTTGCTTGTGTGATTCTCTGGTTCCTCTCATGGAAACCCAGTAAAAAGCAATTGCTCAAGGAAATAAGTTCTCTATTATCAGAAGCTTTAAAATGTTGATGGCTGCTAAAGAAAATTTTGTGGCTTTATTGTTAGATCCTTTTTATTTTATTTTTTTTTAAATGTAATTGGCTTTGAATCTTTGACCCATGAGGTTTATTTTGTTCTTAAATGTTTTCTTTTCCCTCTCTTGGGGAACCTAGGGATGCCGTTTTACAGACTTCAGCGAGCAAAAGAAGGGGCCTGGAAAGCGGAGGACTTGAACCAAACGTTATATCAGGTGCAGTTAAATGAGCCTCCTCCAACCAATTATATGATTCCTGAGCCTATGTTTCCTGATCTAGATTCCTCTCAGGTTGGTTCCTACTCTGGCACCCAAGTGTCATGGAAGACATCCCACCTCATCTGTGCCCTTGTTGTGCAACACCTTCCTCTCATGGCAGAGTTCGCCTTCCTCTGTGTGTAGTACATTTCATATAGCCCATACTCCTCAGCAACCCTCTAATCATTTAATATCTCAGGTCGTCCTTACAGTTGAAGAAGGACACTTTCCTTTAATTCTGCTCTATACATGCAGCTTCTGTTTTCAGCAGTAACTTTCAGATAAGTGGTGCTGTTTGAGAAGCTGTGGGCTTCTACCTGACTGTGATCAGGCTGTAGAAATTGGCCTGGTGGCAATCAGTCTGTGCTGTCCACCAGTTAAAAGGTGAGTGGGGCTGGTGCTAGCTCCTGATGCACAGAGACCTGGTTGAGGGCTGGGATGTTAGCCTCCCTGATTTAAACTAGTAATTACTTGCTTGCTTAAGTGGACTTAAGGTGCTCTGAAAATCCTCATCTGATGCTCTCTCTTGTAAGTACAAGCATTTACAAATGATATATCTGTTTCACAGGTGTACTGTCAAAATATACCTTTGATGCCAGCTCTGCCCTCAAGCCTTCCCCCCTATGCCCCTGTCAGCCAGCCCACGGTTCAGTTTATCATGCAGGGTAGTCTTCCAGCACTTGGCTGCATGGTAGGACAGAGCCTGACTCCGGAGCCGGGCAGCCTGGTTACGGCATCTGAACCAGGAATCCAAGCTGCTTCTGTTGGAAATGCAGAAGAAAAGATCAAAGCACCCAAACCTCCAGTGGATAAAACAAAAAACGAGGAAGTGAGTGAACGCTATCAAGTAGCAAATGCATAACATTAATGAGCTAGTTATTTGAACTTTTAAAGTTTGGGGCTTTTAACTTTCTCTGTACTGTATTTTCCCAGCCCCTGTTTGTCACTGTTGTTTTTGGTGACTGACTATGCTAACCCAGGAGCAGCAGGCAATCCTTTCTTTGAATTCTTTGGGGATTTACTCCATTTGATGGTTCCACTTTCTACTGCTTCATTGCAATAAAACAGAGAGGGATTAAAGCATCTAAAATATACTCTTAAAATTCTGAAGCTTTCTTGTATGAATGTTTGGAAGGGACTTTGCGGATGCCAGAATGTCGAAATTTCTCTAAACACCTGGTTTTCTCCTTTCCCCTCCAGCATTGAAATTAATGTCCATTCTCATAACAGTCCTATAAAGAGGTAGGACTGTATCTTCCTGCTTCTCAGCACTGAAAATGCAGAAATAGTAAAATACTTTGGAGATCTTGCATTCCTAGTTCCTTGCTGCTGACTTTTCGGTTTGCTGTACAGACTGTCTGCTCTAAGTGTAGTGGATGTTAACACAAAAACAAGAACTTCTTAGCCAATTACTTTACTTTCTACCACAAAACAAAACAGTAAGATACTTTTCCCACTGAGCCTCCATTTATGAGCAGCAGTTTTTATGAATTTGTTTTGATAGAATATGTTCTGATGTCATCTGTAATCCTTAATTTATAGGCAACTCTGCAATTTTCAGAATGCCTTTAAGAGCTACCTGAAGCTTTATATTCGCAGCTATGACTTGCTGCTTTTAGAATCTGATGCCTTTTGATGGATGTACGTTTACTTCAGAGCTGTTGGAAGGGAAGGAGAAGACCAAAATTAATAAGTGGACATTGTAGTCACTTGCTTAAAACATGTTCTCTAAGACATAGAATAAATGTTACGTAATACAGGAGTTCCTCATAGCGTGAACTGGTCTTTGTTTCAAGACTGCAATTTACAGTAAAGGAAATTACTTTGAGGCTAGCTCTTACTTGGGTCGTTGAAGTTGTGAAATGAGTATTTTCATTGTTAGGGCATTTCTAAGAGAAATAGGTTCAGAAACCGTGCCTGAGGTAGCACGAGGTAATGAACTTCTCTTTCCTGTGCAGTACATGAAGAAGCTTCACATGCAGGAAAGGGCTGTGGAAGAAGTGAAACTTGCTATTAAACCTTTTTACCAGAAGAGGGAGATTACAAAGGAGGAGTACAAGAACATTCTTCGGAAAGCAGTGCAAAAGGTAAGGTGGCAGTGAAATGGAGAGGAGGAGCTGTGCAGATCATTAAATAAGTGGCAGTAGTTTGGATTGCACTTGCCAGCTTCAGCAATTACATGCTGTAACTGAGTAGCAGGTCTCTGGACTCTTGACTCATAGTCTGCAGTCTTGTGGTGGAGCAACAGTTGCTCTAAGCAGGACTGAGTGGTGCCATTGCAAGCTGTCAGACTGTTCCTTTTAGAGGATTGTGTTTTCAGTGGTCTGGAACATTGCAAAGCTTAAGCTGATGTGGTACGTGCCTTGGGTGAGAATGGTCAAATCTCTCTCATTAAGAACTTTGGCCAGAATCTGCACGCTGTTTCTGATAAAGTGAGAAAATAGTTTGTGTATTCATTCCTTGAGCATCTGTGGTGTCCCTGAACTTTGGAAGAGCGCCTTGCAATTTGGCTGGTGTTGACTTTTGTCTCAAGTCTTAGTGCTGACCAGATCGTAGCTAAAAAAAGACCTGATCAGCAGGCAAATGTCTTGTGAGAGCAGGTAATGCTTTTGTGGTCAAGGTGGCTAAATGATACCCCAAAGAACTGTGTTTTCTCCCTGCCCTATAGGGCAGTGTTGGTGTCACTGAGAAATTCCATCATAGATCAAAATTCCTGAGATAACGGCTGCAATTTCACATCTCCTATGAGACCCATATAAACTTCAGGTGTGGTTTGTAGGAGAGCTGAGCAACACCAATTGCTGCTGAAATCACTGAGAACTCTTCTCTGAACACTGATAAAGTTCTTTGTGGGGTCTGCTCGCTTTCTCCCATATCTCAAAGTGGGCCCTCAAAACTGTCAGAATCTCTTAATCTGAGCATTGCTTCCTCAGAATCGTTAGAAAAATGGGAAATCAACACTTCCTTGGTTACCACTTACTGTGTAAAACTGGCTGGATGGAAAAGCCTGTAATAAAAAGGAATAATTCTACTTTGAGATGCTTATCCATTCAGTTGGTGTTCAGTAGATAAGCCCTGGGCTTTTTCTGAAATGCTTGAAGTGAAATACTACTCTTACCCTTGTTGAGTTTTCTGCTTGATGTATCCTGCTGTGACACTCGGGGGCCTATGCAGGAATCGGTTCCCCTGGGAAGCTTAATCATTGATCTGTTGCCTGCCTGAACTGCTGTAATACTGTCAATCGACCAAATGCCTTTTCTAATGCCTTGTTAGATCTGCCACAGCAAAAGTGGAGAGATCAACCCTGTGAAGGTGGCTAATCTGGTGAAGGCATATGTGGAAAAATACAAACATATGAGGAAACATAAGAAGTCTAATGGTGAAGATACACGTGAAGTGGAAAACTGAGAGCAAGCCACAGCCAGCATGACTTGGACTGGACTTACTCTGGCTGCAAACACTATGCCAGAGGGAATAATAGATCTGCAGTTGCATCTCATTGAAATAACAGTGCAGAGAAGCAAGATTATAATAAGACTTATCTGTGGAACCTTTTTTGAATTGTTTCCATATGGGAATGAAGTAAATTAAACAAATGCCTCAGACCAGCAGAGTAATATGGATTGTCTTTAGAAACTTCTGATTTGATACTTGAAATGTTGTATTTTTAGCCCGTTTGATGGTGAGTGAAGGTTTACTTGCTCTGTCACGTGGGGATTGCAGAAATGAGCTAACGTTTATAAACTGACTTCAGAAACACTGCTCACACTGTGGTGTTTACATTCTGCTGGAAGTATCTTGTTAGTGAAAAATTTAATTTCGGGGTTGGAGACTGTTGCACTTCTGTAAATAATGCACTGGTGGCTGGTTTTATGTCTGCCTTTCAGGGGAAAAAAAAAAAGCAAGCATTGTTAAGTTTCAGTAACAAGCTGGAGGGATAAGGTTGAACTGATGTACAAAGCAGAAATGTGACAGAATTTATAAAGTTATTTTGAACGGTTTTAGTCCTGTAGCAGGTGTCATTTATTTCTCTTGCAGCTGCCTCTTGCCCTGGCTATTCTGTATAAACCTGCACGCTGGGCTTCTCCGTAAGGAATACTGTGTTTCTAGAAGAGGATTGGAGTTGGATAAATAATTATTCCTCCTCCTCTGTAGGAGGGCTGGTTTTCCTTTCAAGAGGCAAAGGAGTCCAGCACGTGTACTGAATTCATCTTGCTTTTTCTAAAAGCACTCTTTGTCTGCATGTACTGCAGAGTAACCGACCTTTTAAGTGACCATCTGAAATACAGCCCCTTACAAATATATTCAGCACCCTTGAACCTGACAAAAAGCGTCATTCCCCATCTAACTGTGTTAGGGAGAAAGCATTTAACAGGGAAGCTGAAGAGAGGAATGGTTAAGTTACAACTTAGAAACTGACTTTTCCTTCAATGGGAACTGAATATACGTGACCTGTTGGACCAGGTGGCAGCAACAAATCTTATGTGAGGGCTTTGCTAACCAGTTAGAGTGCCCTCTTCGAGGATAGTCTTGCTGCTTGTATCTTCAAAGAGAAAACAGCTTTCTGGGATGAGTTTTATAAAGCAACTAACTGCAGCTCTTATGTTTTTTTTCCTGGTGAGCGTTGGAAAACTCAGACTTTTGATCCCTTACTGGGGTTCCTAACTTTTAGTGAACTCTGATTTTAGTCATAGGTTTTTTTTGTCTGCGTACTGTAATTTTGACTGTGGTTCCAAGTAGCTGTTTGGGGACACTTTTAAATTTTTATTTACACAAAACAAACCGGTATACCAGTACCGTCTGGACTGGTGAAATGCTTCACTCCCATCATTCACCATCCTACAGAAGTGTTGCTGGATGAGCCCTGAGCATTTTGGAGTTGATCTTCCTTGGCTCTGGCTGCTTCCTGTGTGAAAGTGCAGCCTGAATGGAGTATAAGGGATTGGTAACATCATGCTTTCTTTGAAGATTCTGGAACAAAGGCTCACTAAGACTGCAAAAAAAATAGCTGCAAGAGAAGCTTTAATTTTAAAGCTAAACTTGTAGCTAGAATCTATACGTAGCAGATGGGTGTAGAGTTGCAAATACAAATGCTGCTAATAGATTTCTTAACAAAATAAAGTTCAGCATCTTTTATGGCACTGTTGGCACAAGAACGAGAGAACGCTATCTAATTGTGAATACACAGGCTTGAAATTTGACACCTTCGGATATACTGGAGGAACAATTCTGGAATAACGTGCCTGCATGAGTGAAAAGGGGTAGGTAGTACGAAAAACAAAGCTTGACCAGATAATAGAGGCAACTACACAGTTGACCGGGAAGACAGTGTCAGTCTGTTTTATTCCTCAGACTGATTTGCTGATTTAAATTCTTGGTTGGTGTTAGTCTTGAATTAGCGCTAAAGATGATAGCCTGTTGCCAGATACATTAGGAGTGCATGTACTGTGAGGACTGATAAATTTTAGTTACCTCTGCACCTCCCATTGCCCAGAGGCAATGAAGCTGAAAATTACACATTCTGCACGTGCTTTCCCCTGAAGTTACATAAACAAGAATACTGGTTCTTTCATTCTGTCTACCATTAAAAATAAATCTGTCAAATTGTAAGCTACCCCTTGGGAGAGGCAATGAGAAACATACCTAAAAATGCCTCTTCTGCCATGTTCTAGGAAACAGCTTTTCTAGTATATTGTGTATACTACTTCCATTTTTTTTTTCTTTCTAGTTGACCCTCTCTGATCAGATGGTGCCACCTGTTTAAGGGAAGAAATCTTATTTGTTCAACACACACAGTAGTTTGGTAGCAGCATAACCTCCTGTTAGTATCCTCTATCCTCCTGTTCCCTCCTCTGCAACAGTGGCAATGCCAAAAGCTCCTTTAGAAAAGGCAGGGGCGCTGCTGCAAGAAGTTGATGCAGGACCTCCTCTGCCACCATCTGTCTTGTAGGTGACCTCCAGAGCTGCTGTCGGGACCCTGGTATCTGGCCAGAGGTGCTGGGGTTGTTGGGAGCTGGCCTGGGGATGGATGGAAGAAGAGGGTGGGGTTCCTGGGCAGAGCTCGGGGAGGCGGGGAGTGAAACGGCAAGAGGAAACGAAAGGGGGAGGCTGAGTGACCGGAGGATCCCGCTGGTGCCGCGCTGCAGGGCCATGGCCCAGCCCGGAGCCTGTGAGTAGCTGCCCTGGCTCGCTGCTGCTCTGGTTCGGAGTGGTGGTGGGAGCCCTTTGGCTTGTCTCTCTGACAGTGCTGGAGGAGAGACCTGGTGTTTGGGAGAGGGTGAAAGCTTGCTTTCCTGCTGGGAGGTGATGCTGAGAACTGGCGATGCGTTGGTCCCGAGCAGGGTGCCTTGCGCAAGGGGAGGCTGTGCTCAGTGTTGGCTGGTGAGGAAGTGAAACGAGGGAGAGGAGAGCAAATCTGGCCATGTTTTGTTCTAGTGTCGTGTGATCCCCATCCCACATTCCCCTGGCACTCTTCTTGCCTGCAAACCTCACCGCTCTAAACACCTTCCCTTTGGGGATGTTGTCGGCCATCACCAAGTCCCTTCTTGTGCGCCCTGTCCTGTGCAGGACCCCACTGTCCCTGCGTTATTCCCCCAGGCTCCCGGAGCTGGGAGCATCTCTGCAGGGAATTGCAGCGTGCATCTGGAGCAGGGGGAGGATGTGAGAGAGGAAGTGTCTGAACTCACTAGCCCTGGCCTTGGTGCATCTCCCTGGCTGTGGTCAGGAGCGGACCGGGTGAGTTAGCTGGAGAGCAGCTCTCCTGCTGGTGTTGGCTCTGCCCTGCCAGCCCGCTACTGGGATTAGAAACCTGGTGGTTTTGGGGTAGATACACCTGCAGCTGGAGCTCTCACAGTGCTTTCATGAGAGCAAAGCCGTTAATGTGATGCTTGAGCTACAGGTCAGCATCTGGTGGGCACCGTTTCTTTCTGTGTCTTCAAGCCCAGGCAAGATCCTTGTGCCTCAGCTTTGGTTCCTCTTTTGAAAGGACACAGGAGCTGCTCGAGCAGCAGCTGTGGTCGTGCTGTTCTACCAGCACCTGTGTTTTGCCTCTGCTTTTGCTTGCTGGCTGCAACAATCCCAAAGTCATGCAGAGCTCAAGGGAAAAAATGGTCTGCAACCTAAAGGGCGAAAGTCTCTCTTAACCACCTTCCCTGCCCATGCATCCAGGTCAAGAGCAGGAGGATGGTTTGCATGAAGTGACTCTCTCTACCCAGAGGCTTCGCGTGCTGCCTCCAGCAGTCCTGAGCAACCCCATGCTGGAAAGCCTTGACCTTGACAGGAACAAGCTCAGGAGCATTACGGGCATTTCTAAGCTTTGCAACCTGAAGAAGCTGATACTGTCCAAGAATGAGATTGTGGACTTTCCCAATGAAATCCAGAGCCTGGTCTGTTTAGAGAAGCTTGAGCTGAATCAGAACCAAATCCGGGTCATCCCAGAGGGGACTTTCTCCCACCTCCCCAGGCTTAAACACTTGCGGCTGAACAACAACCGTCTCAGTGCCCTCCCCAGGGACCTGGAAGCTTGTCGAGGCAGCCTCCAGTATCTCAACATCTCCAACAACCTATTCCGGACCTTCCCCCAGGTTGTCCTGCAGCTGGCACACTTACAGGAGCTTCATGTGCAGAATAATGCCCTTCGCCAGCTCCCGAAGGAACTCTTCCAGGGGCAATCCCTGAAAATGTTCAAGGCCAATGGGAACCCGCTCCGGGAGCCACCCAGTGAAGTGTGCGCTGGTGGCATCCAGCAGATCCGGAATTACTTCAACCAGCTTCAGTGCGGTTTGAGGCAGGAGGAAAAGAGGGTCAAGACCATGTTCCTGGGGTCCTCACTGGCAGGGAAGTCCACCATCTGCAAAAGTCTGAAGCAAGGGCAAACCAAACTGGTGCCCAAGGAAGAGAGAACTGTTGGGATAGAGATCAGCGAGTTCCGGATTGAGGACTTCACATTTCTCTTCTGGGACTTTGCCGGCCAGCTGGAGTACTACATGACGCACCACGTGTTCATCACCCCACAGGCGCTAGTCATCCTTGTCATCAATCTCCACATGTAAGTGCTGAGCTGGTTTGGATTCAATGCAGAGTGGGAGAAGAAAAAGGGGCTGGGGAAACTTTGCCCTGCATGAGTTCACACCATTTCCACTAGACCTCGATGCCTGATCTTCTCACCGCTGGAGCAGCTAGCTCTCCCTCTCCCCCTTTTTGCAGATGACTCTTAATTAAGCCACTAGATCTGTCATCACCTTACCGAAGTCCGCTGTTTTGAGGGGTTAGAAGAGGATTAACTCCTTGTTTGACAATTGGTCCATGTCTAAACAGCTTTGCCTTCTGCCTCGGCAATACCTCTACGAGCCCTCCTGTATTTTGTGGTGCTCCCTGAGCATGGAGGGAGCATCGGGCTTGGGCTTCGTGGTACAGAGGGATGCTCCCATCCCCAGCAAGGACAGACTCTGCTACACCCCATAGCTTTTACTGGCTTAGTTTAAGGATGGGAAACTTAAGGATGAGATTGGATATGGCCCATGACAGCTTAGGATGTCCGAGTTCTTCTCCAGTAAGCCCCTAGTACAGCACAGGGTGCTTG